TAACAAAAAAAGAATATGATTATAGAAAATGAGAATGATTTCTTCAATATATGTATTTGGAAAGAGCTTTTGGGCACTGTCTTATTTGGCTTTCAAATGACATGTTAGGTTTTCTCATATCTGCAAGATACAAAAAGTCTTTTTATGAGGAGGTGAAGGGAAAGATTGAACTCTTAAAAATTGCTCTGTGGTCCAACCTCCATGGCCTAAAGGGTGACAGGAGTTGGTGTCTGTAGGAGGACTCAGCTCTGTGTGTGTGTGTGACAGGAGCTCTGTGTGCTGGGGCCACTGGTGTGGGGCTGTTTCTGGCTTCAAACTCTGTGCTCGGAGTTGTAGGAACGTGTGGCTGGAGAAACTGGTTGTAAGAATCAGAAGGGTGAAGCTGTTCAGTCCTGCTGGCTGAAACTGTGCTCCACTTTTCCATAGAATATATTGGATGCTCTTCGACATGACTTTTGACAAAGTGTCTGCTTTCTTTCTGTTATTTTTTCCAATGAAATGTCTTGGCAAAAACTATCAAACTTTCTCTGGGAACTCACGTTTCAATTTAAAATTCAGCCTTTAGGTTGGAGACCAGAACTCTGTGAAAAGTTCATCTGGAGAGAGTTGGCTGCAGTAACTCAATGTGTGTTTAAGCTTGGTTTGTTTAAAACTTGTGAAGAGCTTTGGGCAGTCTCAGTAATTACTGCAGACTGCAACTCTTTACTTTAAATACTTTCCACATTAAAGAGATAAGGCTGATTGTGAAAAGCTTCCATTTATGTGGCTCAGAATATTCCAAGGGCCTCTCAGACAACATAAGTACAGGAACATTGGAAAGTACATGCAGGCCAGGAGCAGCACGTAGTGTGCTCCATCCCCTCCAGTGCAGGGAGGAGGGAGGGAGGGAGGGAGGGAGAGCAGCCTGGAGCAGGAGGAGGGTGAATGGAGCTGCCCTTTGTGACAGGGAGCACCGTGGTGGCATCATCTCATCTCGTGACTGGGAACAGAACACAGAGGCTGCCTGAGCCTCGGCCAAAAGGCTCCTGCACACGGGATTCCAGCATTGATGGAGTGTGTGGGAGGCTCTTCCCCAGGAGCTGCCGCTGCCAAAGCCCTGTGGGTGTCAGGGTCCAGCATGACACACGAGCACAACCTGCCTGCAACCTGAGTCGTGGGCACTGCAGCTGGGAAAAATAATATCAACCCCCTGAACTGAGCCAAAAACCCCAAACTCAGACCCCTGGCTGAGCAGGAGAAGCTTCAGGCCACCTTTGGGGCTGGAGGGTGAGGTTGATCAGCAGAGCAGCAATCACCATCCATCCTCCCAGGCTGCTGGGTTCAGTGTTCATCCATCCCCTGGAGCTATCTGGGATAAAGCTGCTGCTCCCAGCTCTGCTGAGTGTCTGCCCTGCACCACTGCATCTACTTGGGGTGCTGATGGAGCAGGGTCAGGATTTGGGGGGGTGGATTTGTAGAGGATTTTAAAAGTGTGATAGAAGGTTTATATAGGATGTGTTTGTATGTAAACTTTGAGATAAGAAATGCTGACTTAGAAATGCCATGGAATAAGACAGACAATGTTGAGAGAAAAATGGAACTAGAAATAAGTTTCAGAGGATGGCCTTGCAAGTAAGATTAGATACTTTGGAGAAATAGAATCATGAAAGATGTATTGTATTAGGACCCACAAGGGGTAATTTTAGATTATTGGCTTTGAGGCATTTACAGCATGGTGTGGCAAAAACTGATAAGAAATGTTTATAATGTATTGTAATTAGGAAATAGTTGGTTTCTTAAATGTGATGAATTATAACATTTGTATTGTCTCACCTTTCACATGAGACTAAAAATAGAATAAAAGTTTTTAAAGCACCTCTCAGTTGTCTCATCTCTGGGTCAGAAAAGAGCATAATCCAACAGTTTCTATTCCATTTCCCTTTTGGTTGCCTCAGACTCCCTGTCAGTGCCATAACCAGTTGCTTGAACACAGATGTGATACCTGTTGCTGTTCAATGTCTTTTCTGATTAAATCATACAACCATAATGATGAAACGGGGCTGGGAGTTTCTCTAAGAAAAGAGAAGCTGCTCTGTACACCCTTCAGATATGTTTCCCCCTTCAGATATGTTTCCCCCTTCCCTCAATTTTCCACAGCCAGCTCTGCTTTGAAGAAATGCAGAAGATCCTACTGGATTTTTAATTATGACTTTTTTTTTGCAAGACTTGCTTGAGACCTTGGGAGCTTCTCTGCTCAGCCAAAGTCTGTTAGAGAGTGAAGTAAACTTGGGAAGTGTTTCAGCACGGGGAGTTCAGCAGCAGTAGATGTGGAACTGGTTTGGATTTCTTTATTCCTAGATAATGTCACAAACTAAGCTCAAAAGCCCCTTGTGCCTGGAGTTTCCACATGAGGTTGTGCAGTCACTTAAATTGGATGATCCGTAGTTGTAGATGTGAATTCTGATATAATATTACTATTTTTAGTTGATTTTTTTGCTTTTTAAAGCCAAGACAGAAGAATCTGTTAATAGACAGTTTTAGTCACTTAGAGGGCTGTAGGACAAGGGGGCTGTCGTGTGCTCTGCTCACACTGCAAGTGTCCAGCCCAGCAGTGGGGAATAGAACTTCCTCCCAGGAAATGGTTATGCCAGAATAAGCCTGAATTCACTTTTCTGGTATAATGTGCTTATGTTGATAAAGCAAATTGTGACTCTGCAGGAACACAGTTTACTGGGAGAGCTGCATCAGCCCAGGGGTCTCTGCTGGGATAATTCTGCATGGAGTGAAACATGAACATTTCTGGGAGATGTTTATGGATGAGCTGCTGTCCTGGGTTATTCTTACCCTTGGCAGATAAGAAATGAGAATAAAGAGAAGTTCTCCTCCCTCCTTGTCCCCTCCTTTCAGTGCACAGAGAAAAGAGGAGAGAACACATTCTCTTTTATTTGTGCACTGAGAGGCAGGAACAGGTTTCAGTTTGGTTGCTTCCCTGGTTTCTAGGCCAACATTTATCAAAAGAATTACCTGACATTCCTGGGAGACTGGATTATGGATGCTGCTGTTTTCTGTAGGTTTTGGGCTGTCCCAGCCCAGGAGACTGGAGGAAGCACAGCCCCAAATCTGTTCTGTGGTGTTTGGGCTGCTGCTGTGGCACCAGCAGCTTGTTAAAGGTGGCCAGGGCAGTGCTCAGCTCCAGGCTCTGTGTGATCCATCCCAAGTGTCCTGTCTACTGCTGTTGGCTGGTTTTTTTCTCCTTCTCCATGTTGCAACTGGAATAATTTGGTTTTCTTGGATTAACCTTCCTTGTGACTTCTAGATTTGGGGTTAACTTTTTGTCATCTGAAAACAAGACCTTTTTTCCTGGCGATGTTCTCTCATCGCTTTAGTACAGAATCCCAGACTGGTTTGGGTTGGAAAGACATAAAATATCATTTAGTTCAATTTTCCACCATCCCAGGGTGCTCCAAGCCCCATCCAACCTGACCTTGGACACTGCCAGGGATGCAGGGGTAGCCACAGGGTGACACCTCTGATCCAGGTTACTCTGGGCACCCTGTGCCAGGGCCTGCCCACCCTGCCAGGGAACAATTCCTGCCCAATATCCCATCCAGCCCTGCCCTCTGGCAGTGGCAGCCATTCCCTGTGTCCTGTCACTAACTCCCCATATTAAAATTTCCTCTCCCTTCTGTTTATGAGCCCCTTTAAGGCACTGGAAGAATGGCAGACCTCAGAAATTCTTGCCTGTCTGTCCATCTGTCCTGAAATTTTTAACTAGGCATTGAAAGGGCTGTGTACAAATTTATTGGAATGAGAACTTCTGCAGGCCTGGCTGATCCCACGTGCATGAACTGGCTATACAAGGGAAAATGTGTTTCCTCCTGAAAATAGGAAAGCTGAGATAATGATGGAAAATGCTTCCATTTGACTCAGATCATGTCCTTCAATGTCTTAAAATGAGATAATCCAAGCATTTTCTGTTATCAACCATCAGTGGTTTTCTTCTTGCCTTCCCTTCCTTCCCCTGCCCCCAGTCCTCTGCTTTGTTACCTGTCTCTGCCCTTTGCTACAGAATTTCTCCTGGTAACTACAGAAATGACATTTCTGCAGCACAAAGCAAGGGAAATTATTTAAGGGAGCCTTTGCACTTGTGTTTCTGGAAGGGCTGTAGATACAAGACTCCTAATTGAAAGGTCAAAGCCACTTGCAGAAACAAATGTCTAAATATAACCCCAGCTTTGTCCAGATGGGCTGTGGTAACTAAGACTGGATACATCAATGTGTATGAGGAACTCCTGTGGCTTCCCTAAAATAGAACTCTTTTTTGTACAGTGGTGCATATAAATGCAGCTTCTAGAGCTCTTTTTAGCATGGAATTGTAATAATTTGCTAAATCCACTTGTGCTTCTGTTGCTCCTGAATAAACTCCCAAATGAAATCAGCAAACCTCCATGTCTCACCCTGGTGTGGATGTGTGATGCTCAGGGTTTGGTGTGTTTTGGCTTTCAGTTCATGAGCAGGGCTGCATATCCAGGCCTTTTTCTGTGTGCTCTGAGGCTGTTTTTCTTGCACTGACATCTGCTCCCACTGTTTATTGGATGCTTTATTTTGGAAAGCCATTCCCTGTGCAAGAATCTCACTGCCCATCTGGAGCTGGGAGCCTGTGCCAGATGCTGGGCCAAGGGAATCAGCTGTTCATTGGGAACTTGCAGGCAAGTACCTGCTGCATCCTAGCAATCCCAAAGGCTTCAGTCCCATGATCCTCAGCCAAACAGCCCCTGACTGCAGGGAATGACAGAGAAATAAGTAGAATGACACTTCCTTCATATCAGTCACAGACACTTGAGAAATTTATTTCCTTAAGCCTTATTTTTCTTGGAGGGCTCATTTTGATGCCTTTAATGGGTGGAATTCAAAGACTCCTTTTTCTATATGCTTGGCACCTGTATACTAAACAAACTATGATTCTTGTAAACCTCTGATAAGCAGCACCTGATGTGTCTTTTTTTTTTGTTTAATTTCAGGACAAACACCACGATGCTGCTCATGAAATTATTGAGACAATTCGGTAAGTGCTCAGTGCAGCCTGCCTGGGACCCTTCCTGTGCCTCACTGCAGCTCTGGGAAGGGATGGCTGGAGTCAGGGCACACAGGAGGGCAGCAGTTACCATTTAGCAGCTCTGAGTTATTTTTCTAAGCTGAATTTGCTGCAATACAGAGCTCCCTGCCAAAGAGGTTTTTTTTTTTAATCTTGCCATATTCCATTCTGTTGTGAACAGAGTTAAAAATGGGTGTTCAGCTTTAATACTTGTGGCAGTGGGTATTTGAGCTGTGGACAGGCAAGGTTAAGGGAGCATCCTTGGCTTGGTGTGTTATGTCCTGATCTTGCCTCTGCCCACCCTCTCTGTTTCCCCTGTTGCTGTGATTTTGCAGCATTTGGATTGTTTGGCAATGATCTCCCTGTAGCGTTGCTCCTAATCCTGCTGATAGAGTTGGAACAGCGTGGGGAAAATGGGAGGATAAAGGTGAAAGACAACTGTGAGGAGCAGGAAGTCAGAGGATTTCCCAACACAGGCTCTCAGGACGTGACTTGCTGTTATTTCAGCAGGATTAGGAGGGGACTTGCCAAAGAACAACTTTTAATAAATGCTACACGAATTCCCCAAACACCTGAGGGATGAGGATGAGTTATCCCCATTACAAAGCTGCTCTTGTTAACTGTTTTAGATCCTCACAGGCTGCCCTTGGCTCAGCTCGGGGCTGTGTCTGCAGCAGCTTTCAGTGCTTGGGTGATGCAGATACAGGTGAGGGAGGAGGTGTTTTACCTGCAGAACCACCTGAGCTCAAAATCTGGTCACAGATGGCAAAGCAAAAGGTAGCAGTGAGCCTTGTGTGCTCCCAGTGTGAGTGTGAGAGAGCCAAGTGCTTGATAACATCACTCACATGCATGAAATCAGAGCATTTCCCATGGGCTGGGGTGGCAGAGGATGTGGAATGAGGCTGGAGCTGAACATTTTTCTCCCAAATGATTTTCTTTTTCTGTCTACAAAACACTGCCACTGGTGCTGCCAGTTTGCTTGGACTGGTGGGGATAAGATCCTGTGTTTTGGGGTTTTGTGGCATCATTTTTGGGGTGTGGAGAAGGCCCTTTGCAAGGGGCTCAGAGGGGGTGGCTGGGGAGTGGTTGGTGCTTTCTGTGCTGGAGGCAAAGGGAAGCTGCCTGAGGAAGCAGTTGGGCCAAGTAATGTTTCACAACTGTTTTCAGCAAGGCTGCAGTGAACTCGGTGTCAGAAGCTCTCATGCTGCCTTTGCCTTGTGCAAAATGCCCACAGTGTTGTGAAAGTGGTGGTGAGAGAATGCAGGGAAGCCTTTATCTCATCAGGCAGTGGAGTCATGGAATATCCCAGGCTGGAATGGGCACAAGGATCCAGCTGCTGACTGCCTGTTCCTGGGATTTAAGAAGTTTGCAGGGAGAGTCCTGGTGCTTTTAGGGGAGATGTGAGATACCAGAGGAAGGCCAGTCATACATGTCCAATTTCTGGTTTTTATTGGCCTGTGTAGTTATTAACCATATGTGAATCAGCCAGAAGGAACAGAACTGTTGGATCTTCAGTATTTTTTTTCCCACCATTTTAGTAGTGAAGAATGGAGCAAACTTCATGACGAAGAAATTCTGTGATTGGAATTCATCCTGTGATGTGGGTTTTTCTGATGCTGACAGTGCTTTTCAATTTGATATTTGTGGAGGAAATTTGTGTGCAAAGCTTCTGTGGCTTTTAAATTGCCTTTAAAGGAAATTAATCTTCCTCCATTCCACAAGTGAAGCTCTCTCCTGTGAGCTGCCATTGTTGGATGCACTGCAAGTGGGCATGTGCTTCCCCTTTCTTTTGGCCACAACACACAGGGCTGTGTTAATTTAGATGCAGACCAAAGGAGTCTTTTATCAAAAGAACGTCTAAAAATCTGGTTTTGTTGGGTGTGTAGGGTGTAAGAGCAGTTTAGACACCCCCCAGAGGTGAATATCCTGACACTGAGTGGTTGATGACAGGGTTTTTGGGCTGCTGTGGGAAATGTCTTCTCCACATTCAGCCTTGTCAAAGCTTCCTGCAGCATCAGAATTCTTTGGAAATGCTGCACTTCTGCATTTTATGTTAGATTAACATCAGCCATGACTTTGAGTATTTTTAGACACGTGGAATACATTTATCACCTCATTTTGAAGCTTTATGCTCCTGCCAGTGTCTGCAGGCATCTTGCTGTTTATTCAGTACAAATGTGAACTGTTGCAGTTTCCCATGATGCCTGCCTTATTCCTAACAATACTGAGTTCCCAGGGCTGCTGCAGTGTCCTCTCTTCATGTAAAGCAGTCCGAATTGAGACAAACGACCTTATTACACTTAATTGGCAATACCTCTATTCATTATTTCTTCTCTCCTTCTAGGTGGGTCTGTGAAGAAATCCCAGATCTCAAGCTTGCCATGGAAAACTATGTTTTAATTGACTATGATACAAAAAGGTGAGAGGAATGTTTTTGTTCCCAGCAGGAGTTCAGGGTGTAGTGAACCAGTGTGTAACTGGTTATTCTTAGACACTACCAACTGAAGTTTTCTCTCAGAACTGGCTTCAGGCTCTGCTGGAGTTATTTTGGTAGGAAATGTGTAACAGCAACATTGGCAAAGGCAGTTGGATTAAGGACATAATTGGAAACTCCACGAGCTCCAGTGCAGCTCTGCTGTACGTTGAATTACTCACTGTGAAACAATGATCGGTATCTGCGCCCTTGGAGCAGGGCCAGCCTGGGAATCTCAATGGTTCCTGCTCCTGTAGTAACCAGGAATTCCTGTTCTCAGCAGGCCATGGCAGAGCTGGGTGCCAGAGGGAGCTGCACCTTCCCCTCCTCCCCTTCCTGCTGGCTGGGGGCTGAATTCAAAGGTGGAATTCCCAGGAGTGTTGTGGGCAGTTGGAGGGGTGCCTCAGTTCCATGGAGTTCATACCCACAAGCAGTTCAGAATGAATGTCTCTTATGGGATATTCCCCTCCTGGCTGGGAGAGGCAGATCCTGACTTGTGGTGTGTCTGTGGTGACTTCTGAGGTTCTGTGCTTGGACTTAGCTCCACTGACACTGGGAAAAGGGAGGATGCTCAAGCTGCAGTTTACAAAACCCTCCCTGGTTGCCTTCATGGGAAAAACTGAATTTATCCAAGTCCACAGAATGATTAAACTGTTAGAAGAAAGTTTACTGATGAAACTGCATTGCTGTGAGTAGAATCCCAGAATATCCTGAGCTGGATCCCACAGGGATCATCAGTGCAGCCCCTGTCCCTGCACAGACACCCCAACAATCCCACCCTGAGAGCTCCTGGAGCTCTGGCAGCCTTGGGGCAGGGACCATTCCCTGGGGAGCCTGGGCAGTGCCAGCACCCTTGGGGGCAAGAACCTTTCCCAACCTAACCCTCCCCATCACTAGATACTTCTGTCATGATCTGCTTAAGGTATTGCTTCCTCTTCTCTCCATTTTCAATTGTTTCATTGAAAGACTTGTTAGTCCCTGCCTTCCTCCTGGAAAATTCAGGAGTAATCAAGGTCAAGCATCCCTTGTCATTAAAATCCATTAATTTGGGTTTGTGGATTACACCCAGCAACTGCATTACTGTATTTTTGTGCTTCTGGCATCCTCACTGGGTGTGTTTCACTGGGGACCATCAGTGTGGTTGGCAGCAATCCTGAATAAAAGTGAAATCCCTCTATTGCCCCAAGTCGCTCCCCACTGTCTTCCTGAAGCTTTTCAGGAAAGTCATGAACTGGAATTCTGGTAATGATTTCAGTATTTTTTCTTCCTTTGAAAAAAAATTTGTTGGAAAAATCCCTGGCAGCAGGTGGACTGAGCCAGGGATGTGAAAAAGAAGCAGCAGGTTATGGAAATTCAGACAAACCCATTGCAGCCTCTTTCTTTTCCCAGCATGGGAACAAGCACAGGCAGCTGGGAGAACTCATGGGAGAGGTGTCCTGGCTGGTGTGGTGACCCTGAGGATCACAAGAGACTCAAGTGTCCCTTCTGATGTCCCCTGGCCCCCCATCCCTTCCCAGCTTTGGGAATGCCCATGGATTAAAGATGTCACTCCTGTAACCCCTTGTGTTGTTTTTGCTGCTGCTCTGTGGGTCTGGTTACATAACCATTGATGTTCCCAGGAATATACTTTCTTTCCTGGCCTGAGAGGAATTGATTTAATCCTCTCAGTTTGTGTCATTAGGGCATCTGCCTGGGCTGACCATAATCCCAGGCAGCCCTTGCAGCAATCCCCAGGCTTTCCTGATGGGTGATGGTTTAGGCTGTGTGCTGGCTCTGGCTCTGTCTGCATTTTCAGTTTCAGGGTGAATTTCTGGAAAAGCATCTGCTTTTCTCAGGACTGATTATTGTGGAGAGATGATAGCAAAAAGGAGAAAAATATACAGAGCTCTTAAATTTCTGTGTAGCTGAAAATATGGAGAAGAGGTTCTGAGAATACAGAACTTTACCAGGAAAAGGGCTGTACTCAAAGTATGATTTACAATAAAGGAACTAATATTACTTGTCATGTACTCCTGGTCTACTGGGGATTTTGTTTAAAGGAAAAGAAGTCTTAGATCTATGTATGTAATTACATATCCTGAGAGAAGCAAGCCCTAAATGCCTACTAGCCAAGAGGATGGAAAAGCCCAAGGTTTTACCTTCAAACCTGCCTGTTTTGAGCTGCCCCTGTGTTCTCCCCCCAGCTTTGAGAGCATGCAGAGACTGTGTGACAAGTACAACCGAGCCATTGACAGCATCCACCAGTTGGTAAGTATTGAATTTGGCAAAAAACCTGCCATGGTTTTTGTGTGCCACCTCTGAATTCAGCTAGTGAACAACAGCAGAAAGCTGTGACTGACTCAGTTCTGCATCATTACTCAGTTCAACATCACTTCAATGGGGATAGCAAAGAAAAAAGGAGTGAACAAACCTTTACACCTACCCCAACTCTATTCAGTCCTGTGCTTTACATTGCCAATTTTTTTTTGTGTCTCTTTAAATTCCCCTTTATCAGCTGTGAAATTACCTGTCAATTGAGGTGTGACAAATGTGATGTTCCAGCAATATCCAGCTTTTTGGGGGGCTCGAGCTTGGTGTTAAATTTATTTTCTTGATCACACCTGGACAGTCAAGGAGTTAGTATTGGAGGGATATTCCTACAGAAAGAAAGGGAATTGAACACCACTTTTTGTTCCCAAATTCAGAGCTGCTGCTCTTCCTTGTGCATTTCTGGCACTGTTATTTTGGCACTTGGAAACAACTGACATACCTTCAGGGGGAAGGAAAGGTTTATCTACATTTAACACAGGGATTTCTCATAAAGATTGACTTTTGCACAGGGAAATCTGTGACTTATGGGTACTTAAATAATCCATATGAACTCTCCTGTGTGTTGTGGAAGTGATCCATGGCTTAGGAATTTCCTTGCCACAGTTCAGCTGCTCTGGCCTGTGGGATCACTGGCTAAAGTAGAATGTAATCTCTTTTCAGGCCCATTTAATGAGCCCTTTGGTTCTCTTACCCCCAAAAAAGGTTGAACTGGAGGAAGCAAAACCTGAACAATGAATAATGTTACTATTCTGCTTAATTTGAAAGCATAGGTGGATTTTTTCCTCTGCTGTGCTTGTGGGAATTATTTGAAATATGCAGTATTATGGCAACAAGCCTTTTTTGCTGGGATTTTCTTAATATTTTGGGCCATAAAAACTTGTGTTTATTTGGATTCAGGCACCTTCATGTCTGCGTTGGTTAATAGCTAAATATTATTCAGCATTTGCAGTTGCTATCTGAACTGGCAAACCTGATGGGTTTAATTTTTTCCTTCCCATCTGAATCTCACAGGAAAGTTTAGGAGGGGTACTGGAATTGCCCTTTTTTGGTTTGTTTTTATCAAAGGGAGAGATAGACATTTTTAAAACTTAACAACTTTTCTGCTTAGGATGGGTTTTTTTCTGAAGAAGAAAGGAAGCTTGATTTCCATCTCTTTCCTGCCATTCCCTGTCTGAGTGCATCTGATCCCTCCCATGTGACAGCTCCTGGAGCAAAATTAACCTGTTCTTGTGTTGTCAACATCAGTTCAGTGGGGATAGCAAAGAAAAAAGTAGTGAACAAACCTTTACACCCGCTCCAAAGTGTTGTGCTTTGCATTGACAATTGTTTCTGGCATTTCTTTAAATTCTCCTTTATCACCTGTGAAATTACCTGTTAACTCAGGTGTGACAAAGTGCAGAGCAACTGCTGGTGTGCAATTTCTGCAGAATCCCAGAATGGCTTGGGTTGGGGTGGATTTATAGCCCATCCAGTGCCAGCCCTGCCATGGCAGGGACACCTCCCACTGTCCCAGGCTGCTCCCAGCCCTGTCCAGCCTGGCCTTGGGCACTGCCAGGGATCCAGGGGCAGCCACAGCTGCTCTGGGCACCCTGTGCCAGGGCCTGCCCACCCTCACAGGGAACAATTCCTGCCCAAGATCCCATCCAGCCCTGCCCTCTGGCAGTGGCAGCCATTCCCTGTGTCCTGTCCCTCCAGGCCTTGTCCCCAGTCCCTCTGCAGCTCTCCTGGAGCCCCTTCAGGCCCTGCAAGGGGCTCTGAGCTCTCCCTGGAGCCTTCTCTTGTCCAGGTGAGCACCCCCAGCTCTGCCAGCCTGGCTCCAGAGCAGAGAAGCAAAGCAGATTATTTCAGTTCCCAGTTCCTGCTTCCAGCCCTGGTTCCCCAAGGACTGAGCACATCTGAACACATTCCTGTCCTCACTGAAATAAAGGTCACTGCTCAAATACCTTGGCTTCAAGTCACAGGGCTTGGGATCTGCAAGGGGCTCTGAGCTCTCCTCAGGGCCTTTTCTTGTGCAGGTGGGCACTCCCAGCTCCCCCAGCCTGGCTCCAGTTCTATTCACTCTTTTTGTCTTTTAAGCAGCACCTGCAGCCCAAGCTGAGGCCGAGGGGCTGGGAGGGGCCTGTCCCTCATTCCTCAGTGGGTTTGGTGCCAGGTCCTTGTCCCCGTGGTGGGCTCACCCCTGTCCCCCTGTCCCCTGCAGTGGAAGGGGACGACACAGCCCATGAAGCTGAACACTCGTCCCTCCAACGGGCTCCTGAGGCACATCCTGCAGCAGGTCTACAACCACTCAGTCACCGACCCTGAGAAACTCAACAACTACGAGCCCTTCTCCCCCGAGGTCTACGGAGAAACCTCCTTTGACTTGGTGGCCCAAATGATTGATGAGATTAAAATGACAGAGGATGATTTGTTCGTTGACTTGGGCAGTGGTAAGTGACCAGTAATTCCTTTTTCTCCTTTGCTTTGCTTTCTCTTTTTCTTTATACTTTAAAAACTCCATATTTGGGAAGCCAAGGAGGGCTGGGGGTTGTGTTACAGGATAAACATCTTTTCTAGATAATCCCCAAAGATGCTCCTGCTTTTTATGCCAGGATTAAATGGACCAGACAAACACCCCAGACCTCTTTTCTGGTGGCAGGGAAATATCAGCCTGAATGCAATAAACCCTTGTTACAAACCCCTTTGTTTGTGTTGGTATTGTTGGATACTCTTGTGAAGAAGAAGCAATGTTAAAAATGATGTTTGACCCATCATGTTGCATTCCTAAGGATTCATCTGTTTTCATTGTATTTGCTTTATGCCCTTCATATCTGAAAATTGGATTTCTTGACCCTTCCCAAGTGAAACACTTTGTGTGGAATCTGAAAATGAAGGATTTTTTTGCCTCTGACTCGTCAGTGTGTCAAAAAAGCTTTTATAGTTTATTTGAACAGTTGTGAAACCCCACAAAATCTAACCCACATCTGCAACAGAGTAGAGTTTTAAAAGGAAATTGATGTGTCTAGTTGGTGAGGAAACCAGGTATGACTCAAGCACATGTGCAACAAAGACACTGAGTAAGAAAATGTTCTTTTTCTTGGTAAATCTGGTTCAGAACAGGAAAGGAGTAATAAGAATTTCCCCTCTTGCTTGATGTGTTCTGAAGTTTTTAACACATTTAAACCCAAACAAGTATGTGTCACACAGGACTTCTGAAGAAAAATAGATTTTTAAAATTTGCATTTTAAATTTGAAAGTATATTTTAAACATGAACCAGTTGTATATAAATAGTAAATATTTATCTATGTTATACATAGTAAAACAATAGATGGTAGAATAATTAAATATTAAATAGTATACTATTATGTAATATAAGAATATAGTTTATATATGAGATAAAATGTACATAATATATGTAATATATAATATAAACTATATTATATTAGGTATATTTCCCATAAGATATGCACTATATTAATAATATATAAGCATAATATATAAACAAATAAAATATATAAATATATATTTATAAAAATTTAAATATCTATGTATTATATATATATATATATATATATATATACACAGAAATCTATTGATATTTATATATATATATACAGGCTCTTCAGTGATTTTCTTACCTCTGCTTCCTCTCTCAGTGGGACTGACTGAAATTTTCTGTCAGGGACTGATGCTCAGATGAGACCTTTAGAAAGACATCAGAGCTGAGAAACTCTTTTCCATCTGGAGGGAAACAAAACCTCCACAGATTCTCACAATTGTTTGTCCAGGAAGGTTAAAGAAGATCATATCTGGGAGTGCTGCAGGCTGGGTCTCAGGCCCATGGCAGATATTTCAATGTGCTATCCCCAGAAATAAATCAGCTGTTTCTCTCACTCTGTCTTGGGGCTGAGCAGCTCCAGGGCAGTGGGAATGTCAGAGCCCTGCCCAGTCCCCCAGTTCCCCTGCTGGTTTTGTGTGCTCTAAAAGCCTTTCTCCCCTGGCAGTGCTTTCCCTGAACTCTCAGCTCTGGGGTTTTTGTTCCTTCCCTGCAGGTGTGGGGCAGGTGGTGCTTCAAGTGGCTGCAGCCACAAACTGCAAACATCACTACGGAGTGGAGAAAGCCGATATCCCAGCCAAGTACGCCGAGGTGAGTGAGCTGGGGGCTGCCGGGGGCAGAACTCACTGCTGCAGGAACAGCAGAATTCCATCTCTGCTGGTGTCTGCTGCTCAGCTCAGCCAGTCCTGGAGCTGGGGAATATCAGCCATGCAAGGGTGTGCTTGTGTGTCCAGTCTGGAGTGTCCAGAAGCATCTTTCTGGAGTGATTTCAGGCCCTGAAAGCTCTTTTAACAGTACTGCCAGGGCCTGTTCAAAAGGGAGTGCAGCGTAAGCTTCACCCAAATGCCTGCAGTCATTCCATGGCTGGAATGGCCCTAATGCAGCTCCCAGAGGCCACAGCTTGCAGCAAATCCTGGAGTAAATTCACCAAACAATTAGCTGTTAAGTATTTTAAAGGCCATGTCTCTGCCTGTGGTGGTGATGCCCCTTTTTCAGTGATGAAGCCACCAGAATTCCTCCTGAGGCCTCTGCTGGGTGTGCAACTGCTTATGAGGCACCTTAGTGAGGAAAACCATAAAATGGCCTGAAGCTGAAAGAGGGGCAATTTAGATTAGAGTTTAGTGAGGAATTCTTGGATGTGAGGGTGGCACAGGGTGCCCAGAGCAGCTGGGGCTGCCCCTGGATCCCTGGAAGTGTCCAAGGCCAGGTTGGACAGGGCTTGGAGCAGCCTGGGACAGTGGAGGTGTCCCATGGCAGGTGGGACTAAATATTTAAGGTCCCTTGCAACCCAACCAGTCCATGATTGTTTGATAATGTTTAGTCAGGCTTCTTTAGTATATTTTAGTATTTATGTTAAGGATTCTTTAGTGAGGTTTTTTTACATTTCTAATTCTGTGCCAATGAGACACAGACAGATGATGAGTTCAAGGCAAACCTGGGAGGCCACAAGCAAACAGGGAAGGTCAGTCATGGCTTGCTACAAGAAGTTTACTTCCTTCAGTAGCCTGAACAGAAACTGATCCCTTTGAATTGTCAAAACATAGATTCAGCCTGAACAGGCTAGAAAATTATCCATCGTGGAGGGAGGGAATAAATAAAACTCCTTGGTCCTTTTTTTCAGTGATCTGGGCAAAAATGCATAAACACAGTGGTGAGGACCATCAGTCAAGGACCTACAAATCCACTTTGTTTTCCCTGCCAGGACTGAGTGCAAGTTTTTACCTGGAGGGCTCTGCAGTCCCTCTGTGTGAACATCCTGGTTTTGATTTGGGGCATTTACAAGACCAGGAATCCCCTCTGTGTTTACCATTAAATTAGAGATCAGCTTTGTAAGGAAAAGTGAAATTCTTTCTTTCACTAATGCCCCTTCCTCTCACTGTGCAAACACAAGGCTTTGGTGAAAACAGCAAACAAAAGAATGACCTACAAATGGAGAATTTGGGGTAATCACTGCTGAGGTACCTTCAGTCTTCCATGAGATTACTGGGTGAACAAAATGTTCTGTGTTACTTCCCTGGTTAAATCCTGTCAGATTTAACAACCAAGGAGCTGCTGCAGTGTCAGACTGTGTGGAGTTGCCTTGGGCCTCTGCTTAGGGCCCAGTTTTCCTCCACATATTTGTAGAAGAAGTTGGGTTGAGTTTCCAGTTAAACTGGCTATGGCACCACATCTATGGGTACCATGATAATAGATGGATAATAAAATTTGGAAAGCTTCACCTGAAGAGGAAGGATGTTACAGACTTATTTTAGTGACGTTGCCTTAATAAATTTAAATGTAAGTTTCTACATAAAAATACTGAGGATTTTTGAGTTTTCCTGCTCAGCTTTGGAGTGCCTTTGAGCATGAGACATGCCTGTCCACACACAGAGTTTTGTTGAGCTGCTGATGGGGCAGCTGATCAACCATCAGCTTGAGTTGTCAGTGGGATCAGAATTTCTGCTGGGCTTCTCACACAGAATCACAGAGCAGTTGGTGTTGGAAGGGATCTCTGGCAGGGTCACCTGGGTCAGGTGACACAGGAATGTGTTCAGGTGGCTTTGGAATGTCTCCAGGGAGGCTCACCTCCCAGTTTGGCCCAAATCCTAAAGATCAGCTGGGGGCAGGCTGCTGGCAGGGTGGTGTGGGAGTGTGTGGGGCACTGACCTGTCTGGGTATGGGATTTTGTTCCTTTCTCCCTTCTTTGCACAATAAAAACCAGCAGAGCCCTCCCTGCTCTGCAGCCCTTGTGTGTTTGGGTGCAGTTTGAAGCACTCCCAGTTGCCATGGGAAGCAGATTTGCTGCAGGATTCTCCCTGTTTGCTGCTGGGATGCTTTTCCTGCTGCTTTCTGCCTCCTCAGTGACCCCAGCAGACCTGGCTTTGTCCTGGTTGTCCCTTTGCTCCCTGGGCTTAGGCTGGGCTCACCCCCCTTCTCCTGGTAGGATTATGCACCACAATTTAAGGCTGGGCTATTTTTAGTGCTGGGCAGTGTAAGGGCTTTTCTTAGAGCATGGAACTTCCATGAAAAGGGGGGGTGAAAATGCCAGCTTTGCCTTGGCCCTAAGGAAGTGAGGGTTTGGTTTTTTAAGGAAACTGAACAGCAGGAGCTCTGTGTCTGCCTGTCCTTGGAATGTTAATGGCAAAAAACCTCCAACCAGACAGAATTCCTGGGGATCAATGAGTGCTTCAGAGCTGTGTCTCCATTGCTGTGATGGAACTGGAAATGTGAGATGTCCTAATGGCTGGTTTTGGTTTTCTTCCCTCTTGCAGACGATGGACAGAGAGTTCAGAAAATGGATGAAATGGTATGGGAAGAAACATGCAGAATACACAGTGAGTGACACTCAGCTGCAGATTGGGATCCACACCCTCATGCAGAGTTTGTAGAGTCCCCTCCAGCCTTTCCACAGGCACCAGCAGCTGAGGCACAGCTGCTCCCTGGTTCTTGTATTGATCCTGGCCATGGTGTTTCCAATATATCCTTCCAGACCCTCTGTTTGTCTTGCCTGATGTGGGGCATGGTGTTATTGGGAGCACTTCCAGGTCTTTCCAGAAACTCTTGGAAGATTTTTTTCTTCTAAAATATTGTTCTGATTGGGGCTTCTGTGAGTCTTCTGTTTGTGTTAAATCCCCTTTCCCTTCCCTCTCTCCATGGATTGGGGTTTTTGCCAGTTATAGCAGCTCCTCCTTGGGGTTCTGAACTCTCCTGCTGGAAATAAAAGCTGAAGCTTTGGTTCTGCAGGCAGGGGAAGGTTTGGCCACCTGGGCCCAGTTCTGGAGGGGATGGGGTGGCAGGGGGGAGGTTCTGGGTGGCTGGAGATTGGAGCAGGAAGCTCCAGGAACAGGTTACAGGCTGGATGGTTCTCAGGGGGTGGTGGTTCTGGTTTGGAAAGGTTTGGAATAGGATGCTCTGAAGGTGGAGCTGGAGCAGGAGGATCATTATGGGGAGTCTTCCTGCCTGGGGCAAGGGTTGTGTTGAAATTTGATGTTTCTTTATGTCTGAGGATGTTTTGCCCTCCAAGGATGATGTGAGGAATGTGCAAATCCATGCACTGTCCTGTCCATTCATTCCCTTTTCTCTTTCTTCCCCTTTGTAACTGTCTATAAGAAAATCTACTCTCTGCTTAATCACTTCACAGTCAGAAAATGGATGTACAATAGGAACCCACTGGGAGTTTTGAAAACACCTCTATTTCTGTTTCTGTCACTTTCCTATGGTCAGGGAAGAGTCTGGGTGGATCAGGGATATCCCCAAATATCCCAGGGAAGCTATGTCACTGCTCAGAGGTTGCAGCTGGCCATGTGTCCTGCATCCAGGTGTGAGCAAGGAATGGGGAACTGCCTTTTTCTCCTTCCCTTCTCCCTTCCCTTCTCCCTTCCCTTCTCCTCTTCCTGCCATGTCCCTGGGATGCTGTGATCCATGTGGATCCCAGCACTGTGGGATCAATTGGAGCTGACTAGCCTTTATTTCCCAATTTTCTGTCTGCTGGGACCCTTGTTGCCCTCATCTTGCAGAGAAGCTGCTCCAGCTCTCCCTTGGGAAGCAGGTTGGGAAGGTGATGGTCCCACCTGCCCCTAGCAGCTCCCTCCTGCAATTCCTGTTCTGGAAAGAGGGATTCCCTTCCAGGGATGCTGGGCCTGCTCTGCAGCAGGATTGATAATTCCTTCCTGCTGTGGAAGCACTGGGAGTGCTTTACTTTTCCTGAAGTGGCCATATGGCATTTTTCCATTGTGTCACCCAGCTGGCATGACTTGAAAAGAATTGTTCCTGAGGATGCTGTGCTTCTGGGCTGGGTAATTTAAGGAATAGGAGAGGAACTTGGACTAAAATATTGGAAGCATATTGCTTGCCTTAGGCAGCATTTCCATATTGAGCATTCCAAGTGACAGAGTCTGGTGCTATATTGAAACAAAGCTATTTATTTTTGCCAGGTTCTTTGGCTTTTATAACTCTGTTTTCTGCAGTGTTTAGAGTAAAATTTCCCTGAATATGCAATCTGAGGGTTTTTTTGGGAAGAGTTAAACACTTGCAGCACTTTTTGTCTGAAGGAAAGTTGGTTTCCTGTCACCTTGGAGTGATGCTTGAACACAGATTTTGGACTTTTACAGGAGGCACACAGGGCAGATTTTATTTAGTTTTTATTCATCAAACAGACACTTGCCAGGCAGTTTATGTTCTTTAGGAACTCCTTAGCAGCATCTGCTATAGGTGACTGTTAAACACAGAGCAAACTTGCTCATGATGCAGCTGGAGGACACAGGGAGATGTGGAATTGAAAGCCTGGCATTTTTGTCTTTCTGAAAAACAGCTTTGTTCCTGCAAAATGCTTTGTGAGGTCCCAAAATTCAAAATGTTGGAGACAAAATAAGCACAAATTGAAATAATTTGTCATCAGCAGAGCTCAGTTTGTGAATTTCACTCCAGTGTTAGAGGCAGTCATATGAAAAATCAGTGTTTTGAGAAGAATCAAGTGCTGGAGGGGAGGGGAAGGCGTGGTGGGAGTTCAATGGGAGAATTTTGGATCCCACCTGCAGCTCTGGCTGAACTTTGTGGATGGTGTTTCCCTCTTGCTGTAAAAGTAAAAACTGAGATGCATAAGGCAGCAATTAATCCTGGAGATGCCCTGCAGGGCCATGCTGGGTTTTTAGGTTATTTTAACAGTCAAGATCTCAGCACAGTTAGAGATTTCCAATTCCAATGGATTTTGGGTTCTTCCTGAAAAGTGATCTGCTGAAAAGTTGAGTTTTGCAGAGTGTCCCATGCTTGTTGGGGTTTGTGCATCTCAACAGTTCCTTCTTACTTGGGAAATTATTATCTCTGTAGCTTTTCACCATCTCCAGCCTTCCCACCTGGTAGAGTCTTGCTGAGAAATATTTTCTGTCCTTTTTGCCTGTTGCAGTCCAAGGGACTCAGCAGAACCTCAGGATGCTTTTGTAACCTGCCTCAAATCCAGCAGGATTTTTTCAGATTTCCATTAAAAGAAAGTTGCTAGGAATGTAAACACAGAAAACCCCAGGACCCCCAAAACTCTGCAAACAATGAAGTTGTGTTTGAGCTCCCTTGGAGAGAAGGGCAGTCACTGTCACCTCACCAAATTGTTCTGCAGCCTTCAAGTTCAGCTTCTGGCCTTCCCCACTGGATTGTTCTTGTTAGTGTTTGTTGGAAGTTCTGAGCTTGGACATGAATTCTGGGGAGCAAGGCCCAGTGCCACATTTAAAACAAACCCCAATTATCCAGGTGTATTTCCACTGTACTTTCCAGATTTTTCCACGATTATATATATATATATAAAAAAATAATTCTGGGGAGCAAGGCCCAGTGCCACATTTAAAACAAACCCCAATTGTCCAGGTGTATTTCCACTCTATTTTTCCCACAATTATGTATAAAAAAACCCCTTCTTCAGTCATGTTTCCACACAAAATTGGAGTCTCATTTGTTCTGTAGTCACTTGGTGATAAAAGCACATTAAACTTCCCCAGCTGCAGATGACAAAGTGTCCTGGGGATGTTGGATGCCCAAGGCTGCAGAGCCACAGCTGGAGAGGGAGAAGATCCATGTGGGGCATGAGAGGAGTGGGAGGGATTTGCTCCTCATGCATTGCCTTGGGAGGCTCCTGATCTCCAGCTGGTCTCTCTTTTTGGTCACTGAGTCTCATAATCCTCTTAAATGAATATTTACATGCCCTGCTCTTTGGAATGTGCAATTCCTGTTCATTTAGGGAAAATCAGATTCTTTGCTGCTCTTCTCTCCTGCATCCCAAGGGGAGGATCCTCCTCCTCCAGAGCTTTTCATCATCATCTCCTTCAGCTTTTTGGACTAGAATGCCCCACTTCCACTACATGTCCTGTTGTTCCAACTCCTTTTATCTTCTCCTTTCTCTTCCCATGGATCTGAGAAGTTTCCAAGATTAACTTTATCCCACTCTTTCCAAGTAAACTTGTCTGAAGGAAGCTGGAGACTTTGGGAAGGTCATTAGGCCTGGCTAATTAGCGAGTCTTTCTGGGGGAATTCCTGCATATATGCAGACATCCAATTAAAACCCTGCATGGCAATTAAGAGGCAGATGGGTTTTCATGGTTTCTAACTGTAAATATCCTCATGTGGCCTCAGAATCAGAGCCATCTCAGGTATCTGGGGCAGGAGGCTGAGATTGCTGAGTAGCACAAAGTTCTTCTGTTCCTGGGCTCCCCTTGGAGAAAGTTTTTGGTGGTTTTTTGGTTTTTGTTGAGTTCTCAATGCCTGTGACCTGTTGTTGCCTTTTCCTGAGAGAAGAAAACACAGAGCAGACTTGCTGGAGGACACAGGAAGAAGTGGAATGGAAAGCCCAGCATCTTTGTCTTTCTGAAAACTTTGTCCCTGCAAAATACTTCATGAAGTCCCAAAATTCCAAATGTTAGAGACAAAATAAGCACAACTTGAAGGATCCCAGGCTGAGCTCAGAGCAGTTGGGAGTTGGTGCAGTCCCTTGTTGGACTCTGCTGAGAACCAGGCTTAGTTTTGTGTTTATTTACTCAGGGTTGTTATAACAGAATTCCTGCCCTGCTCCAGAAAAGCTTCTTTAGGGGGTGGCAGTGGCTATCAAACTCAGCATTCCTAAAGGTGGGATTTGGGCTGGATGGATGCCTGTGTGCTCCCAGGAAACCCCAGGAGTTTCTGGTGGCTGCAGGTGGTTCAGCCCTGAGGATCAGGGGTGAGTTTTGGCATCAGTGCTAAGTTTGGGTTGCTTTTCTGCCTGCTTTATTTAATATTTCTCCTGTTCTGAGCAGAAGCAGGGAGCTGTGTGGGAGTTCCAGTGCCCAGGAGCTGCTTTGTGGTGATGACTGACATCACCTGCAGCTGAAAACCTCCTGCTCTAGGAGCTGCTCTCAGGGCAGGATGAGCCAGCTGTTTGCTCCTGGTATTTTTGACCTCCCCATTTCAGCAGGAAATTTGCTGTTTTGGCATTTGAAAATCCCTCCAAACGTCCCCTGTGGCTTTGAAATGATGCCACATTTTGGAGGTTTGGATTCGTGCCTCTGGTTATTTTTGAAAAGAACAAGTACCTAAAAATAACCATGTGTACTTTTCCAGGCAGAAATGCTGGGTTTTTGGGAGCCAAGTGTTTGCACGGAGGCGGCTGCAGTGAGGCATCCTGAATTTGTGAATTTATGGCTCCAGCAGCTGAGAGCTTCCCTGGCCAGCACTGGGCTGAGAACCCAGCCCTCCTCCCCAGCACAGGGGCCTGACCTTCCCAAATTCCTGCTCTGCTCCTCTTGCTTGGGAAATTGTTATCTCTGTAGATTTTCCACCATCTCTGTCTTCCCACCTGGTAGAATCTTGCTGAGAAATATTTTCTGTCCTTTTTGCCTGTTGCAGCAGTCCAAGGGACTCAGAACCTCAGGATGCTTTTGTAACCTGCCTCAAATCCAGCAGGATTTTTTCAGATTTCCATTAAAAGAAAGTTGCTAGGAATGTAAACACAGAAAACCCCAGGACCCCCAAAACTCTGCAAACAATGAAGTTGTGTTTGAGCTCCCTTGGAGAGAAGGGCAGTCACTGTCACCTCACCAAATTGTTCTGCAGCCTTCAAGTTCAGCTTCTGGCCTTCCCCACTGGATTGTTCTTGTTAGTGTTTGTTGGAAGTTCTGAGCTTGGACATGAATTCTGGGGAGCAAGGCCCAGTGCCACATTTAAAACAAACCCCAATTATCCAGGTGTATTTCCACTGTACTTTCCAGATTTTTCCACAATTATATATATATAAAAAAAAAAAACCTCCTGAGCCAGGTTTCCACACAAAATTGGAGTCTCATTTGTTCTGCAGTCACTTGAACTCACACCCTCTGTGTACCTCTGGCTGCCTCCCCCAGGCTGGGACCTGCTGCTTTCCATCCAGTTGCAGGAAGAGTTACAGGAATCAGATGCTGCTGAGTGTATTCCTGCAGTGGCTGTTTGAAAAACCTGAATAAAAACCTGGCCTGGCTTCTAAATTTAGAAGCAATGCAGGCAGCAGCTCTGGAGGCGATTTCTCTGAGCTAATTATCCTGTTAGATAAAGCATCTCCTGCATTGTCTAATCAGATGAAAATATCTGTGTTACAGATGGTCCCTTCCATTCATTATTCACTAAGGAGATTAAGTTTCTGAGAGAGAGGAGGAGCAGGGTGAGGGAGGGGACAGTGCAGGAAGAGATTGAGTGTGGCCCTGTGGCTGTCACCGTGTGGATGTGTCCCCTTCCTCCTGAGTCACCAGCATGGAGCAGTTCTGCTGCTTCAGCAGGCTTTTAATCAGCTGGATTTTCCTTCCCAGTTCTTGTTTCACTCTCAAAATTACTACAAACCACCAAACTGAGTGGGATTTTAAGGAAATTTTTGGGGATTCTCTGTGTCAGTTGATGGGTAAAGAGTTCCTTTCCTTCTTTTAGGGTATCAATTATTGATCAGTGCCCCAGCACAGTGGGTAAGGAGCTGGTTACAAGGTCAGGCAGCTCAGTCCCTACTGCAGAGGAGCATCCAGGAATCACTGCCTTGCTTCCAGAGGGAAAAATAACCCATTTTCTCCCAGCCATAGTTGCTCATCTGATTATTTCTGTACTCCAGTGTTTTCCCTGGTGAAGTTCTTCCCTTGACTCTTGGCTAAGCATGAGCTGGGGAAGCAGTGCCACACAAAAATAGATGTGTTTAGGCTGGGCTGTGCTTCATTTGAATTGTTAAATGGCTCTGGCTTGCAAAGTGTTCATCCTCCATGGGTGATATCAGGTTAAAACCTGGAGATTTTGGTTGTAAGTGCTCTTCTAACCACACAGACAGGGCAAACACACAATGAAACTGGACCCAAGTGAGGCCTAACAGCCACATAGGTTGAATTTCAAGACCTTTTATGAAGTTTAGCATTTCAAAATTGTTTCATGTTACTCTGCTTCTCTGTTCTCTTGCAGACTGTGACATTTGTGGTTCCTGGTTTTCCCAATGTTTTTCTTTCCCTGTTAGTGTAGGAAAACCCTGTGGAGACTTTAGAAAACAAAATTGTTACATGTTACTCTGCTTCTCTGTTCTCTTGCAGACTGTGACATTTGTGGTTCCTGGTTTTCCCAATGTTTTTCTTTCCCTGTTAGTGTAGAGACTTTAGAAACTGGTGGTGTGGAGGACGCCATTGAGAAGCTGACTTGCAAAAGTTGTTAGAAAATAAACTTTTCCTTGACTTTGTCTTGGTTACTCAACCATGGAGCTGTTTACTATAAGAGTAGATAAGGCTGAGACAAAATTATCTCTTAAAATCAATCTAGAGGTGGTGTCCACATAGAGACATCCAGAAAAAAAAAATCTTTCCATAGATGAGAAAAATTCTTCTTAGGACTTTTTTCATGTTGAGTCTCTGGTTTAGATTCTGACAGTACCCAACAAGATGTCCTTGGGTTGGATCTTTGAGTTCAGCTTCCAGCTCCTCCTTTGGTTTTATTACAGCAGGGATGTCCAAGGTGCTTCCCCTCCCTGCAGGTGGGAGATCACAGGGAGCAATTCTGGTTTAACTCTGATTTCAGCCCAGCTGGTGGAACAGGTATTTCTGAATAACTTCAGCTAATCTAACCTGCTCTGTTGAGTTTCTAGCACTTCAGGCTCTTGACAAAGTTCTTGATTTCTTTCCTGAGAACCCTGGATGTCCACTTTTCTCAGCCCACTTGTGTAGCAGCAGGAGATTTTGGTGGTTTCCCCCTTCCTTTCCTCCTGGAAGCAGCCCCATTCCTGTTGGCACCTGTGGCTTTGTCCTTCACTGTGGCTCAGGCAGGTTTGTCACCCCCTCTGTGTCCCCGTGTGGCACCAGGAGCTCTCTTTGGATGTTCCCAGCCCTGAGGGATGGAAGTTGTCCCAGTGTCTGCATTGCAGTGCTGGCACTTTGGAGTTGTCACTAATGAGAATTAGTGCTGCCATGTGAAATCCTTCTCACTCCTTCCCAGACAGAGAAATCAGTGCAGGAAAAGGATCCTCAGCAGCTGCTTTGATGTTCCTGAGGTTCTGGCACAAACCATCATCTTCAAAGGGTGTCATCAGCATTAATTAGACTTGCACTTCATTTTTTCTCTCCTCCTCTTATCTTCCTCCCCCAGCCCTCCTCCTGCCTGGCTTGTGGCACAGCAGAAGCGTGGCCCATGGGCTCCTCTCTCGTTTCCAGAACATGACTGAGGAAGCATCAGTCTGTGCCAGAGCTCTGTGCTCACCTGGGGCTGCATGTGGTGTCACCAGAGAGCTCCACAGAGCTCCACAACCACTGAAGTCATAACTGTACTGATTTTCAAACAAGGCCTTTATGTTACTTCATTTCCAACTTGAAAGTGTTAGAAGTACTCAGGGTTTATATTTAGCAGCGCAAAAATCAGATTGTTGTTTATGCAGTGCAGCAAGAGCCTGAATTGGGAGCAGGGCTCCCAGCAGGAGCTGCTCCCAGGCCATGCTCAGCTCCCTGGGCTGAGGGGGGATCACCAGCCCTGGGGGCCCTCAGGAGGCATTTGCTGATCAGTTTTACAGTGAGTGCCAGCACTTCTGGCTTCTCCACAGAGCAGAACCCTTCCCTGTTCTTCCCACGCAGGAGAGGGGACGAGGTGGGAGCAGGGAGGGAGAAACCTCAGGGGCAGCCTTTCCTGCTCCACCTCTGGCTTTCCAAAAGGTTTCACTTGTGCCTGGTTGTTGTGGGGTCAGCCTGTTTGTGCCTTTCTGGAAGGAGCAGGAGGGAGCCCTGTTAACCCCTCTGTGTTTCTGTTCTTTGTCTTGTTTTCAGCTGGAAAGAGGTGACTTCCTTTCAGAAGAATGGAGGGAGAGGATTGCAAACACAAGGTACAGTACAGCACTTGAATGCTGCTTTCTGAGCTGGATATTTGGGAGTTTGTATAATGGAAATTGGGAGGCTGGCCAGCTTTTTATATAGAATTTCCATAGCAAATACCCAAAGTCTATCTGCCAACTCTTACACTGGCCTCTTTAGATCCTGTTTTCTGACTAGAAGAATGGCTTGGAGTGCACGTCCCATGATATTCCATACAAGGGTGTATCCAAGATAAATTCTGCTTATAAGAGGAGCACAAACCTCCATTTGTTTTGCATATCCCTGTAGTTCATGTCAGGGATTCTGGCAAAACACTTCTTCTCTTGGCTATTGGGGCACACAGGCTCACTTTCCCTCTAATAAAAAGGAAAAGACCCAAGTGAGTTTGTTTCAACTTAAATTGAAAGTTCATTTAAACTAATTGTCTTGAAGATTTATTTATGTGGAGAACTAAATGCAGAGGGTTGGGCTCCTTTCTGAGGGAGCAGAAAGGGAGTAAATTTGTTAAAAGCAATAAAAGTAGTCTGTATTTTTAAAGCTTTGCATTCTTTCAGCCTTATGGGTAGAAAAAACCTCTTTATTTTTATATGACCTTCTGGGCCACCCTGTTATGTGGGGGAATGGGAGGCAGTTGTCAAAGAGAGCTCTGAAAGCCTTCAGAGTTGTGGCAATTTCTGGATTGCTCCCAAAGCTCTGGTTGTCAGAGCCTGGAGGAGGCGTCTGCCAGGCTGGTGACTCCTGCAGATTCTGCCCTTCACTTTCTTCTGGAGGTGCCTTTTAATTTGTGGACAGGCTTGTCCCAGCCTTGCAGCACACTTGGGTTTGGCTTTGTTGCTTGTTATTCCAAGTGCACGATCCTCTGCTGCCCGGGCAACTTTCCTCTGAATTAATTTAAATTTTTTAGAGAAATTTTTGGCTGCAGGAGCTCTGGCTGCACCCAGAAGTGCTGGGAGATGTTTGGTTTGTGTGGCATGGCACTCACTGTGTGTCTCAGTGCTGCTCCACTTCGTTCTGCTGCAGGATCAGGGAATTCTGGAATGCTTTGGGTTGGAAGGGACCTTAAATTCCAATCAGTGCCACCTCTGCCATGGGCAGGGACAGCTTCCTGTACCTCAGGCTCTCTTCAGTCTGGCCTTGGACACTTCCAGGGATGGGGCTGCTACCAGACATGGTTCCCTGTGTGTTCCAGGGGATCCCTGTTCCTGTGGCTTGGCAAAACCTCCTGGAAGGAGGGCTGAGCCCAAGGGGATTCGGGGTTCCTGTGCCCTGCACGCACACACAGAATCCTGTGCCAGAGTGAGCACTATAAAAACACATCTGCAGGCTCTGGCTTCTTCCCTTCCTCTCCTGGATGTTTTCTAGTCCCATTAATATGTTTGGCTCTTTTGCAAGGCCTTTTTTTTTTTTTTGGCACATGGGAAGGAGGAGGAAGAAACCCCTGCTAGTTTTACTTGCCAGGCAGGGTTTCCCAAATTTCCAAGAGCAAGGCGTAGCAAGAATAACTTTTTTTCCCTTGGTGCATAAACATTTTTTTCATTCGTGGTTTTTAATAGCTTTGAGTGCTGCTCTTAAATTCCCTGTGTCCTTGTTGAACACGTTTCATGTGTGGAGGCACTGGGAAGGGAGTTTTCCTGCAAAGAAATCAGTTCTTCTTGTGGGAACAATAGGCCAGGATGGCTTTTACACTTCACAGAATCCTGGAGTATCCTGAGCTGGAAGGAACCCCCAGGGATGCTCAGCCCAGCCCCTGTCCCTGCACAGCCACCCCAACAACCCCGCCCTGAGCATCCCTGGAGCTCTGGGAGCCTTGGGACCATTCCCTGGGCAGCCTGGGCAGTGCCAGCACCCTCGGGGGCAAGAACCTTTCCCTGAGCTCCATGCCAAGCCCTGCATGTTCATTCAGCAGGGAGCTCAACCACTTCCAAGAGGTGTTGAGGACTCTTGTTGCAGCCTGGGCACCAAATGGGCACCAGTGACAATTAGGCCAGATTAGACTTTATTAACTAAAGGGGTATTTCTTTTCTAATCTGTGGCATGTTCTGTTGCTTTCCCAAGCCCTTTTATCATTTGTGGGATTCTACCTCTGTGCAGATTTCTTTGTTTCCATATGATTGGTTTTTTTTTCCAGGAACAACCCCTCCCCTCACTGAATTTCTTAACCCAGAAGCAAAGATGTAACTCCTCTGTTGTGGGTAGGGCTGAAGTGCTGGGGTTAGGACAGGGGAAATGTGCTAAGATGTCACTGTCTTCTGGCATTATGGGGAATTTGGAGCTAGAAGAGAAACAGAGTGCCCAGAGCAGCTGTGGCTGCCCCAGATCACTGGAAATGCCCAAGGCCAGGCTGGACAGGGCTGGGAGCAGCCTGGGACAGTGGGAGGTGTCTCTGCCATGAAGGGACCTTAAAGCTCTGGATGAGCTTTAAGGTCCCTTCCAACCTAATTTTTTCATTCTAAAATACATTTTGATATTTTGCTGTAAGATTTTAAGTCCCTACCAAGAAGCAGCAGGATGAAGCCTGAGTGTTGCTCTCCATGTTTTGGGTGATGGGAGCTGTAGAGTTGGGGACAAGCAGGTTTGTCCACGGCAGGAGTGGCTTGGAGGGCTCCAAGTGGCTGTGGTGTGACTGGGGGTCCTTATGGGTTGTTCCTGGCTCCCTGATCTTTACCTGGATCATTGTTTTGCAGTGTTATTTTTGTGAATAATTTTGCCTTCGGGCCCGAGGTGGATCATCAGCTGAAGGAGCGCTTTGCGAACATGAAGGAAGGTAAATCCAACTGGAAATGATTTTCCCCTTCTTTCCTGATTCCTGTGGGAGCTGGGGTGGGAGAGGGGCTCAGTTCCAGCTGGCAAAACCAGGCCTTGGGGTTTGTTCTGTGCCTTGGGGCCAAGTGGCTGCACCACAGTGGGATTTGTTCTTCCCCCTTTGTGTCTGCCCACACCTCCCTGGCTCCTTGGAGCATCCCCTCTGCTGGGAAAGCTCTGGAGCAGGGTTGGGGTGGGAGCAGCTGCTGGTCCATCCTTCCCTCTTTTGGGAGCCCACAAAACACCCAGCAGCCAAGGCCAAACTTTCTGCATCCCTGGAAGTGCCCAAGGCCAGGTTGGACAGGGCTTGGAGCAGCCTGGGACAGTGGGAGGTGTCCCTGCCATGGCAGGGGGGGGCACTGGATGAGCTTTAAAGTCCTTCCAATACAACCCATTCCATGATTCTTGGCTGCACAGGCACAGCTTTGGAAAGCTAATCTGTAATTCCATACAGAATTCACTTCTCCTGTTCCGAGGTGGCTCATTTAGAGCTGGGTGTTAACTCCTGATTTTGGAAAAGCTCCAAACCTGTGGGGAGGTGGCACCTGGGGATAGGGTTTGGTGGGACGCACTTTGATGGTTGGACTTGATGATCTTAAAGGTCTTTTCCAACCTTAATGGTTCCACAATTCCATAAAAACTGGGACAGTGTTACTGGGTGCTCCTGAGAAGCCACACTGCAGCCTGGGGACACCCCCAAACCCCATCGTGGCCTCTCCATTGCCCTGAGTGTCTTTCCTTTGCTCTTAACCGCTGGGAAAAGTAACAATTTGCTTGGTTGTGGCAGAAATGACAGAAATAACAATTTCTGAAAAGAAAAATATGTGGTGTGAACAAAGCAGCTGTGGCTTCCCATGGCACAGCTTCGTGCTGAAATAAATAATGTGACTTTTGGGCTCTGCTGCAAACCATAAAACCCCCAAACTTAAGCTGTTTTCTTTAATTTAACTGGATTGTTTTTTAGTTTTCAAACTTGTTTAATGGTGGCTTGAGAGCAGTGGGAAGGTGGAGATGTTTCAAGAACCCTTTAAAATGATGAAACCTGATTTCTCTTCCCAGAGTATGCTTCAGGCTCTGCTGAATGACCCCAAATACCCATGAAATGGAGATTAGTGGCCTCTAAATTAAAGGGCTTTGGGGGCTTGTGTATAAAAGATCCCAAGTAGGATGGAGATAATTGAAATTTCTTTAGATTGCCACAGAGAATTAACATGCTTTTTTTATTCTAAGTGTTTCAAATCTGTCATTTTAAAAGATCCTTGAGGTGTCACCTGGCAGGAATCATGGATTGGCTTTCTTGGGGCTTTCAGAATGAGAATTAAGGAATTTATTTATTTTTTAATGCCATACAAGGTGCAGTTTTATAGGACTGCTCTTTAGGGCTCTGTACTGGGTTATATTTAATAAGTAGTTACTTCTAGAACAAATAATGGAGCTGACTGTGCTCTTTGTTTTTGTTCTTTTTTTTTTTCCTTTTTCCAGGTGGGAGAATTGTGTCCTCAAAACCTTTTGCACCTCTAAATTTTAGAATTAACAGTCGAAACTTGAGTGGTATGATTGCCCTTTTTATTGTTCATTACAGTTGTGGATGTTCATTATCTGAAAATGTCTGGGGGGTGTTACTGCTTTTTAGAGCTGTTTAAGTAGAAAATGCTATTGTTAGGGCACGCTAAGTGACAGGTACTTAAAATCAATTTAAAAAGAGAAGAGGACAATTTAAAATCAATTTAGAATTTATTTAAAGAGAGGAGCAGACATTTTTGATGGGCTTTGTGCTGCTGTGTTTTGGTGTTGGTTCCATCAACGTGTCCCTGAGCTGCAGAGAAATCAGGAGTTCAAGGGTGTGATTCATTCCTTCAGCCACAAAAAGCAGCCCTGACTCACAGGGGAGTTCCCTACACCCTAAATCCAGGCAGGTCAATCCCACCAGGCAGGATTCCTAAGGCTCAGAGGGTATGGAGCCAGGCTGGGAGAGCTGGGGGTACTCACCTGGACAAGAAAAGGCCCTGGGGAGTGCTCAGAGCCCTTTGCAGATCCCAAGCCAAGGTATTTGAGCAGTGCCCTTGATTTCAGTGAGGACAGAAATGTGTTCAGATGTGCTCAATCCTTGGGGAACCAGGGCTGGAAGCAGGAACTGGGAATTGAAATAATCTGCTTTGCATCTCTGCACTGGAGCCAGAGCTCTAGGTGCTCACCTGGACAAGAGAAGGCTCCAGGCAGAGCTCAGAGCCCCTTGCAGGGCCTGAAGGGGCTCCAGGAGAGCTGCAGAGGGACTGGGGACAAGGCCTGCAGGGACAGGACACAGGGAATGGCTGCCACTGCCAGAGGGCAGGGCTGGATGGGATCTTGGGCAGGAATTGTTCCCTGGCAGGGTGGGCAGGCCCTGGCACAGGGTGCCCAGAGCAGCTGTGGCTGCCCCTGGATCCCTGGCAGTGCCCAAGGCCAGGCTGGACAGGGCTGGGAGCAGCCTGGGACAGTGGGAGGTGTCCCTGCCATGGCACTGGATGGGCTTTGAGGTTCTTCCCAACCCAAACCATTCCAGGATTGTGTGAAATGTTCAACTTTGAACATCTCCTGTGCTGTGTATTGAGCAAACAAACCTCTCCCAGACACACCCAGGCCCTGGGTTTGGTTCATTGCCAGCACAGGGTCGTGGTTTCCTTCTTCTGAACAGGCCAGACTCTGTGTTTGGCAGCCTTGTCCTGAGCTGCAGTTTAAGGAGGTTTTGGGACATTCCATGTGGTTGGTTTTGACCTTTTCAGACTTCCACTGTCGAAAGTGGGGTGTCTGTGCAGAAGCTGGACTGATGTTCTTTGTGGGTCCCTTCCAGTTCAGGGTTTTAAATGAAATTTCTCAAGCAGATGGGCAGTCCAAGCTGGGCTTTGCATGTATTTACTGTGTCAGTGCTAAATTTCCCTTAAATCAAACCCCCCTCATTCCCTCCCTGTGCAAACATGGGGAGCAACACACTGAGTTCCAAATCTCAAGCTGTGCTGTCTAATTTTGGCCTAAGCTGCTTTTGAAGAATAGTAATTTTTGGACTGTCGTGAAGTAAATTGTGCCCTTGGGAGTTATTTTTAAGCTGAAATTCTTGTGGTTGTCCCACACATCAGGCACCCAAACCTGCACTTTTCTTCCCTGTTTGAAATTCTGTTTTTGGACCCCATGTGGTTTGGAACCTTGTTGAACCTTAGGTGCTGGACTGCCAGTTCTTTGGAGGTATGGATTTGAAAATCAAAGGGAAAAAGGGTGGAATGATGCTCCTGGAACTCCTCAAGCCACAGCTGGGGCCAGGCTGTCAGTTTGCTCATGAGGCAAAGAGAGCCTGAGTGAAGCTTGGGCCCTCTTGCAGAGCCCACCAGACCCTGAGGAAATCCAAAAATGCCTTGGAGAGGTTTCGATTAGACCTGCCCACAAAAATACAGGGCTTTGGCCTCTCACACCTTTTCTTTCCTGTATTTTTCCCATTTCCTTCTCTCTCTGCTGCATTTGGAAGACTGAGGCCAGCATGTGCTGCTCTTTCACCTCAGAGCAGCCCTGGCTACCTCTGCCAGTTGAGCCAGACCTTTATCCCATCCCAGCTCTCAGCCCAGCCTGGATTCATTGGGAGTGTTTTCTAGAATGCTGAAGTTTCAAATCTCAGCTGTTATTTAATGCTGAATGGAAATGCTGATGTTAAAATTATATTGAGATGATTAATTGGAGTTTGGATGGGTGAGAGGCTTAGCAAAAGGAGAGCCAACAGCTTCCACCAGTAGGAAACTTCCAGGCATTCAGATAAAAGGTCCTGAAAAAAAATTACCTTACTATGCTACAAACAGGGGGAATTGTGTGAATAAATTTTAGGACTTATTATTATTTTAGGCAATTCCTTTCTGAGACCATATTATGTTGGACAATACCAACATCAAATGAGCTTGTGTGGGATGTGCTGGGCCAGGGGCTTGTTCCAGTGGCCTGTTCCAAGTGACAGTCCCAGGGAAATGCCATCCCTGGCATGGCCAGGGTCCTGCACATGGAGCAGGGAATGTCACTGTTCCGCTGCCTCTGTGCTGCCCCACAAGGTTTTCCATAACACTTGTATTCATCAAGGCTTTTTTTGGTGCCTGAGCCTGCCTTGAGTCACGTCTCACCTGTCTGTCAGATACTCTGATCTGGAGTATGAACATTTAAATAATTTATACAAAACCCTGGGAAAGATCAAGCTTTAAGAAGGAGGCACCAGTTCCCTCAATTCCACTTTTATCCTTAGTAATTCCATCTGTGGGAAGAAGTGGAAATGTGGAAAGAGTTGGGACAAATGAAAACAAGTATTAAAATGTGGTTAAAATAGTGGTTGAGGTTGCTGAATCCCAAACCTTGCTTTTGGCCTCTTCTGGGTCATTTTTGTTTAATTAGAAACGTGCCATAATTTCTCCTGCAGCCCTGCCACTCACCCAGTGGTTGTGGGAATGTTTAAGGCACATCCCCTAGCTATTAATTCTGGAGAACAAAACAAATATAGACAAGAAAGCAAACCCAAAACATGTTTGTGCCCAGTCCAAATATGGGGCAGCTGCAGCTGCCAGGGGCTGGGCTGGTGACGTTCTGGGGCTGTTTAATTCAACCCTGTCACACACATGTGTTGTTCCTTGGAAAAGTTGTCTGGGACACAGTTCTGCTGGCCAGAAGGAACTCACTCAGGGGTGGCTGGCTGGAAGGTACATGTCCCACATGTTGCTTTCCTGTGGGGTGCACGTAGCAGAGAGTAAGAAATTCCCTTTAAACTCCCAGCAGTGTTTTCCTGGAGGATCTGCAAACCAGATTTCTCTGTGTTGGTTGTTGTAAAATCAGGGTGCCCCCGACAAAGGAAAATGATTGTCATCTGGAATGCTGAATACTCACTTTATTAAAACTATATTAGATTATACTATAATGAAAAGATATATGTTATACTATATCATACTTCTAACTACTGAAAACTTGTGACTGTCAGCTGACAGTTCTGACACATATATGTGGATCTAATTGGTTAATGAATTAAAACACTATCACTAAAATCTAATAATTAAATTTTTTTAGGTAAATAATCTTCTAACACATTCTACATGTTCACAAAACAACAGGAGCAGTAATTGAGATAAGAATTGCTTTCCCTCTGTGCTTCTCCAGGAGAAAACCTGAGACAGAGAGAATTATGTCTCTCTCTTTGTTCAGAGGGCATGTGAATACTACAGTTGGTGCCTGGCTGGTCTCAGCTGAGTTTCCCCTCTCCTCCCACAGATATTGGCACTATCATGAGGGTTGTGGAGCTGTCACCACTGAAGGGCTCCGTGTCCTGGACGGGGAAGCCAGTCTCCTACTACCTGCACACCATTGACAGAACCATAGTGAGTACCAGGGCCTGTGCCCTGCTCCTGGCAGCACTTTCCAGCTCCACATCCTTCTGCCTGAGACTCGTGTTCCTGTCTCTTTGTGGATTTACACACCTGAGTAAATCCACAAACCGCCTGCTCCAGGGTTCCACACACCCTGGGGTTAAGGGCAGTGCTGGTTTACTGAAGCTGCAGAGATTCACTGATAAAATTCCTTCTGCAGCTGCTCAGGATTGGGCTCTCCTGCTGTCATTTCCTCACAGAGGAAAGACTCAGTGGGGCTTTGATTCCTCTGTGGTGCACAGACCATTTCACTCAGTCATATTCAATCAGTAAATCTCAATTTTAGTAAAATTCTCAGCTGCTGTAGAAGCAGCCCAAGCTCCATAACAATGATGATCCATTCACTGGTTTTTTTTTTAATTAAAGAAAATCAAGAAAAACCCACCCCAAACCAACCAATGACAATAAATAACTCATGCAACATCCCCC